GATACCACAAAGTGAAGTTTTAACTTTACGAGGGACTCTCTCAGGAAATGATCTTTATTGCGCGGCCCAAACTGCCAAGACGGTGAGCTGCCAGATTTTGCCGGAGACTCGCCTATGATAAGCCATTTTCTACACGGCGAGAATCGTTTCTACCGGCGCTTTGGTATTCGCCAATGGCTCTTTCTTCTGCGTGTGCTTATTTCCTTTTTCACCTGCGTTATTCTCTCTATCCCTTTTCCTTCTTTAGTATGAGCGTGGCATTCTCACATTTCCGTATATCCTCATAACGGAGACAAAAAGAAAGCGAGACACTTGATATTGTTAACGCCGCGGGTTCTTTAAGCCGTCCGGGGAGCTCGAAACTGCCATTTGCGTGTTCATTGGCAGTTTGGCACTACTTACCCTCCGAAGTGCCGAGGACTTAGACCTAGCGGCCCCCGAGATGTTCACCGGAATTACCTTCCCTTGATAGCTTTTCTCATCCGCCTATTGTCGCCGCTCCTCTCCGTGTTTATTCTAAACTGCAACTAAACATTTATGGCCGCCTTTAGCATTTTTGAGGTCAGCTTCCCGCCGCGACTCCAAAGACGCAACGGGTTCCCTCGCCTCTGCGAAGCCAGCGCGCGCTCGGTCGGTAGTCGGTCGCGGGGAATGATGCGCTTTTGGCGGGAGGGAACGTGCGGGGCTCTCGACGTGAAGATAAACGTAATAGCAATAATAATAATAACGACGATTATGATAAAATAAAAATAATAATATATTGATATTTATCATCCTTATTCATTATCGCTGTTATTATCGTTATTGTTATCTTATTATTATTACTATCATTATCCTTATTATTATAATTATCATTATCATTCTTATCATTATTATTATTAATATTGTTGTTGTTGTTGTTGTTTATTCATTCATTATGATTTATTTTTTCATTATTGTTATTATGATTACTGCTTTAATTATAGCAATGATACTAACAATAATAATGATGATTATTATCATTCTGTTATTATAGTCATGGTTATTATCACAACTGATATTAGTATTAGTATTGCTATTATTGTTATTATGATACCTCATGACTATCTATCATCAACACGACATGTATATATATATATATATATATATATATATATAATATATATATAATATATATATAATTACACACACACACACACAACACACACACACACACACACACACACGTATATATATGTATATATATATAGTATATATATACTATATATATTATATAATATATATATATATATATATATATGTTCATTTATTGTATTTATATATTCATATACATACATGCATATACGTACATATCATATGTCTACATATATATATATATATATATATATATATATATATATATATATATATATATATGTGTCGTGTGTGTGTGTGTGTGTGTGTGTGTAGAATACCGACATGATAAAACATTAAGGACAAAAGGCTAACTTTAATAATCTCATTGTTATATACAACAATCCACAAGAGTTGACGGCGAGCACGAACCACAATCCCCCACCGGCGTGTCCCTCCGACGCCTACCAGGGCAACAAGTCCTTCCTCCGCCGAATCAGATCATAACCCTGGGGAGGAAGTCGGGGGGTGGGGGGGGTGGGGGGTCGCTCTTCCTCCCCAACGCCCTCTAGGGGGGGTGGGGTTATGGGGTTGGGGCGAAGGGGAAGACGTAGGAAATTTCAGATCGGCGAAGGGACGACGATGATGGAAGGGGATCTAGACGTTTCGAGATGAAATAGGCTTAGGACGAGAAAAGGCGACGTAGGATGGGGTTGAGAGCCAAAAAGGATATCGTTGGAGGCGCTAGGACGTGGAAGGAGAGGCGTAGGATGCTTGAAAATAACGAAAGGTCCCGTCAGAGAATGTTAGAACGGTGAGTGAGTCATCTAGCACCAGGCGAACCGAAAAGATGTGGAAGAATATTTACAAGAAGAAAGAAATCAAGGGGCGGCTGCTGAAGCGACGAGAATGTCCCGGAGACATGGAGGAATCGCGAAGCCTACATTTGAATGTAAATATAGATAGCGCCTAGATCTACCGATATCACGTTATCCGAATAAAAAGGGGAGACGTTTTCGCACACTGCTTATTTTGCATGCATATGTCTTCGGGTCTATTACGTACAAAGCGCATCTTCGGATATTGATCAAAGCGTCTCGGTGATCGTGTATGTGTTGAGACATGTTCCAACCGTCTTTGTGTAACAGTTCAGTGTATAAACAGGCATATTTTGCGCATAAAACTTTTCTGGCGCGCATGGCAACCCATCTCGTCTCCATGAGGGAAACCCGCACTTCGCCAATTCATTACTCACAGGCAGCCATAGACTTCGCGCGAGAATTTTCCCTCCTTCTCGGCCTCAGAAAATATGGGCTCGAGACGGAGGCGCTGAAGGAGGGCGAAGAGGCCACGGAGGAGGAGGCCCTCGCCAGCCGACGCTCCTCCAGCGCCTTCACGCCACCTGCCATATCCGCGGCGGCAACACCACGTCACATAAATTATCTCCGAGGGAAAACAAGTTGTAAAACACACATGATGATCTACGAAGTTTCATCCGAGAGGAATTCATGTATGCAGATAGGAATGTGGAGGGCGTTTGCGTGCAATATTTCACGCTGAGACGTGTTTGTGTCAACAGCATTTACTCGCTGCTGAATGGCGCGCGCTATCTATCGATGGGGGCGGGGGGAGGGGGGGAAGGGAGCCTGCAATCTCCTCGGAGCGTCGTCACGAAAATGCGAAATCCTGTTTGACTCAAGATGGAAAGCGACGATTCCATCCGTACCTCGAGACGGGGAAAATAAAAGCGCAGGGGAAAAGGCGTCTTTTTTTGTTGGTCTTTTTTCTCTCCCTCTCTCTTTCGCTCGGATTATACATATAAAAGAAACTTCGCCCAGACTCCTTTGGTGCGGCGGCCTCCACGTCAGACCCATAAAAAAGTTCGACTTCCTTCGCCTAATGCAAATTTTAATAAATATAGATGCCGGTCGATAACCGCCAACCTATCTCAGTCATCTCCTCCCTTAACCACACACACACACACGCACACACACACTCACACAACACGCACACACTCACACACACACACACACACACACACACACACATACACACACACACACTCACACACACACACGCAAGTACTTCCCTCGTTCCGCCAAACTATACCGAGAGCGAGTTATAGTCACGACGTGAAAGTTTTGTTAGCCTTCCTTCTCCTCGCCGCTATTTTTTTTGATGACGTATCATCTATCCATCTATCCCCGGGTGCCCTGAGGTCTTCAGGGCCCGACGCCGACGGTGCCATTGTTATGCAAGGAGGGCACGCCACTTCCTTGGGGTTCTGTGTCTTTATGGCTGTTACTGCGCGAAGACATCGCTGCGCTGGGCATGGCGGCTGTATAACACTAAACCCGCCCGACTCTGCTTCACGGCGGCGCGCGGTCGTCTTGTTTCGGGTCTTTTACCACTTTCGGGCGTTCTCGCGCGCTCGCTAACGTTTTACGTACAGGCAGAGTACTCTCTGGGTTTGCCTGTCTGTAGGGTTGTCTGCCTGTGTCTGTTTGCGTGTATATCTTTTTTTCTCTCTCTTTCTCTCTCTTTTTCCCCTTATCTCTATCTCTCTCTCTCTCCCTCTCTCCCTCCCTTCCTCCCCCCCCTCTCTCTCTCTCTCTCTCTCTCTCTCTCTCTCTCTCTCTCTCTCTCTCTCTCTCTCTCTCTTCTCTCTCTCTCTCTCTCTCTCTCTCTCTTGTACTGCATCAAAACACCCAACGTAAATCTACCTCCACCGTATATTTAAAGAAAGGCAAACACAATACACGCGCTCGGAGTTGATAAACGAATACTGAATAAAGGGGTGACGACCACTGCAAAAAACAATGCATAAACAAGTAGCAATGATGATAATGCATAAACAACCAAGAAAATGTCAACACACACACCATCAAATACGACCATTCGCAAAACCAGCGATGAATAATATCGACTGCCCTACGCTTCTATCACTACACTTTCACTATGATATAAATGGTGATATGAAACAAGACCATGTGCCTTGTATACCTGATACATCAACCAACATTCTAAACCGTTTACACCGAGATACAATTCCAATTCACACGTTGCAAAGAGTAACGTTTATTCCCCGTAAAAAAACAACATGAGATTAAAACGTACAAGCACTAGGGATAGATTGACAAAAAAGAAAAAATACATACACTGAAATAAAATCAAATAGTGGATTGGTAAAAAAACAAAACAAAGGGAAAAAGCGAGGAAAAAGTACCAGAACCCGCTTGAAGGTTCCATGGAAACGTGTTTAACTCTCTCGTACAGCGCGGAAAGTACTGTCAGTTGTTCACAGACTCGATGATTTCATTAAGCGTTATACCAGCTTATGTCGCTGTAGGATTACGGTGCACGGCCGGGATTTCACTTTATTGTTATTGTGAACTTCGTTTTATTTGTTAAAAGTGAGCGCGAGTGGGAATATGTGTATGTACGTGCGTGTGTGTACGTGTTTGTATAAATAGATGAATATGTAAGTAAATACATACATGTGTACACACACACACACACACACACACACACACACACACACACACACACACACACACACACACGCACACACACATATATATATATATATAATATATATATATATATATATATATATAATTATATACATATATATCTATATATTATCTATTATCTATCTATCTATCTATCTATCTATATCTATCTCTCCTCTCTCTCTCTCTCTCTCTCTCTCTCTCTCTCTCTCTCTCTCTCTCTCTCTCTATATATATATTATATATATATATATATATATATATATATATATATATATATATATATATATATATATAAATGTGGATATATATACATGTTGAAACAGAAACACCGTATATATACATATATGCCCTGACGAAGCAATAGCGAAAAGGCCTTCGGCATATTCGTGTGTT